AGCTTTTTTATCGTAAAAATTGCTCTCTGTGGGAACTGTTTCTTTTACAAAAGCTTAGTCTAATTCCAATCTTAGGTTCTGAAGATAAACCGGATCGCTGACCTTAAAGATGTTCAAATACGATTCTCTTTAGTCCTTGTAGGTCATGCTCAATTATTTTTTTCCACGTTGAGTGCTATCTTATAGGTTCAATAATGTTGCTTCATTTCTTGAAGCTGTGTTTCGAGAAAGCTGGTTGATTTGATTCATTTTCGTCATTTTTAGACTGTTAATTGGTTTCTGCGCCGATTATTTTTGTTGCTCTTGCAATAATGGGAAAAGGATCAAACTCTTTCTTCATTTCATCATATCAGTTCATGCTATGTAGCAATATTTGTATACGTAGTCAGATTTTGAAGAATTACTGGTCTATCAACCATTGTTTATATTGCCAATGACAAAGTTTTCTTTATTTCCATCGACACATGCAAACTCTAAGAAATAAAGCCAACTAAGTGTTGGAATCCTCACTACAAGCGTAATCCTGTCACAAACTAACAGTCAAATAAAATTCTACTAAGATGTATGAAATACCTCAGTCTTATAGTTGAATAATGCCTTCACGGTAAATAATATTTTGCCAGAATGCATGTAAAAGAATATTAGACTGAAATAGTTATTGCGGTGGACTGTACTAATTTAACATGTTACTTGTTGAAAAATGACCACCAGCACCGATCGCAACACAAGTTAGGTGACATACTGGATACTGACAGTGTATTTTTAAATACATTAAAAATAAGTAGAATTTGCATAAAACCTTTGATGAAACTAGTGGGGTAAGGGTGTTATATTTCCATTGATAATGAAGAATGCAAGGAACGAACTGTCGATATTCCTTCTTTGTCCTCTTAAGAATCAAGCTAGGCGATATCCTAAAAAACCTTTCCACTGTGTACAACCAGTGATGGTTGCTCCACAGAAAAAGTAGACTAATAGATGTAAACTGACAATAACGGCATTATTATTATTATTATTATTTGTCCCTTAGGTTGCTAATGGGACATAGAGCTTCAGTAGCATCTCTCCTTTCCACTCTGTTCTCTGCAATCTTGTGAACCTAGCTCCAAGACAGCCCACAAGCTCTCATTTCCTCCTCACACAATCTCCTCCATGTCACCCTCAGCTGCGACGCCCAACTCGTCGCTACTCATCTAGGTTGCACTCGAGGGACTGGCCTGGTGCGTGTTGTCCCCAGTCGGTCTACTCAGTGTATGTTTAATCCATCTCCACTTCCTTCCACCTCATGTTTATGGAACTATAGGTTGTTGGTTGGTTGGTTCGTTACCAGCCAGCCAGCCAGCCAGAGTTCCTTCTTCCTCATTCTTATTATTCTGGCCATCTGATCCTCAGTAACGATCCAGTGTAGGCAGTTGTTGATGAATACCTGTAGTTTGTTGGAAATGTTTTTCATAACGCGCCAAGTCTCTGAAGCATACAGAAGCACTGACTGACTTCACTGAATCAGTGTTGAAAATCCAGATATGTTTCACGCTTTACACTGAGTGGAGTGCAGAAGATCTTCACACTGGTTTCAGGTTAATGAACGCCTGTCTTTCTGCCTTTCCAATGCTGGCTGGCTTTGACTTCTTCGTTTGTGCTTCCTGTAGTTGAAACAGTGCTACCTAGATAGGTGAAAGAGACTACTTCTTTTAAGTTTCTCCCGTTGTTGGTGATTGGAGCTTGTTGTTGTTGGTGGTGGTGGTTGGGTATCTTCATCACATATGTCTTCTCCACGTTCACTTGAAGTCCTGTCTTCGCTGCCCTGCCTCTTCTGTCAACTTGTTAGTTTTCGCCTGTAGATCTTCAAGTTTATGCCACAAGACATCAGACACAAGTCATCGGCGAAATCCAAATCGTCTGGGATCTTTTCTGCTGTCCAGCGTATCCCCCTCTTCTCGGCCCACACTGTCTGTTGCATGATCCAGTCCACTTCAATCAGGAATGTCATCGGTGTTAGTGGACAGCCTTGTTTTACTCCTGTCTTCACTTCAAAAGCATCACTGAGCTTCCCATTTTAAATTACTTTGCATGTGGCGTCTTCATATAGTTGTTGAATGAGATTGATAAAGGTTTGTGGTATTCCGTAGTGTTGCAGGAATTACCAAATTGCTTCTCGGTCGACGCTGTCAAAGGCCTTCTCAAAATCGTGGAAGTTGAGGTAGAGAGTTGGGTTGGCTGCCATTCTTTACTCTGTTCTATGATGATGCAAAGTGTTGCAGTTTGGTCAGCACATGATTTGTACTTCCTGAATCTAGCCAGCCTGTTCCGGTCATAGTTTTGAATCCAGCGCATGCTTTACTCTCTCCAGAATGATGAGGCCTAATATTTTGCTTGGGGTCGACAGGAGCGTGATTCCTCGCCAGTTCTTGCAAAGACTTAGGTTTCCCTTCTTCAGGAGTTTGACAAGGTAGCCTTCCTTCCAATCGCCGGGTACCTTCCTTTCCTTACAGACCTTCTGCAATAGTGGTGTGAGCATGGCCGCTGTTGTCTCTGCGTCTGTTCTCAGTGCTTCTGGCGGTATTCCATCTGGTCCTGCTGCCTTCCCGCATTTCAGTAGCTTTATGGCGTTCAGAACTTCGGCTTTTGTTGGAGGATTTGTGTTCACTTGTAGTTCTATGGCTGGGATGCAGGTGGTATTTCTGGACGAAGTGCACGTGGTGGTCGATTCAAGAGTTTTTTGAAGTGGTCAGCCCATCGTTCCCTTTGTTTCTCTTCTTTGGTAATTAAATTTCCTTCATCACCTTTTATTTTTTTCACGTGTGTTGACCTCTCCCTCGCCTGGTTAACTACTTCACTAGTTACTAGCCGGTCCTAAGCCTGGGTAAAGAGGGAAGGTTGGGCGTAGGGCTAGAAACCCTATCCCGTAAAACAAACAAAATGTGAGAAATAAGAATAACAGCATAGTAAAGGAAATTTTCCTTCATGCTTATTTCTTTGACTCTTTGAATTGAATCTCCTTGCTCACACAACTAACCAAAGAGAAATAACTGCATTGTATTGAAATCTTTTCAGTGAAGTCAACAAGCATTACTGCTTGTTGTGAATGGTTATCATCTCCTCTAATCAGTTGGTGATAAATATCTTGAGTACTAAATACATTCCAAATTTTTGTAGTCACCTAAAATATTTCCCATCCAGTAATATGGAACATTATTTCACAAAACATATTGGGGTGGAAGTCAAGCAGTGTTTAGAAGACTGATTTTAAGTTTAAAGTAGAAGTAACCTTTTCAGTTAATGAATAATTATTAATATATAAAACTGATACTTTGAGACATTTTCTTAAATTAGTGCTGAAAATACTTCTGGTGATTCATGAGCATAACGTAGCTGACATTCCATTTTTTTAATCTTGACTAAACGCTAAAATATGCAAAGATTGACAAGAAAAGAAACTTTGAAGTGAAAAAAAATAATTTTCATGTGTAAAAATTCTAAATTCAGATGTCAATTTAGATTGACCATTGCATTCTTGTACATTTGACATCCTATGTACTGAAATGCTGACAAATGAAGTAATTAGAAGTTTTTAATTAAAGTCTCTTCCTGTGATTTTTCTCTTTCATCATGCTTGAAGCTACAAATATAACTCACTATACACCAAATAGACTAATCGTAAAAATCTACCATCGATACAATGAAAAATTACCCATCTAATCATTTTTGATAATTTCCAAAGTTGTTTACTATCGAAAATCCTAGAGAATAACTTAAGAATTCTTAAAAATAACTTTGATTATCGATAAAGTTTCACTAGGTGAATTCAGTAATCATATCATATATAAGTTCATGAATTATAAATCATATCTACTCTTATGACCTTCAGGGTGTTCAATAATGACCGCTAACTGACAGTAATTAGATTCAACATTATAATATAACGATTTTATAGGAGATGGATGCAGTCATTAATTGAAAAACCCCTTAATTTATTGTTTAGTTAGTGGTTAATTTAGAGAATAAACATTTTACAAATTGAAGAACATATATCACCTTTTCAAAATTTCTCGCTAAACTGACTATTTGTGTAATTAAAACAATTGGGCAGTTTTTATCATTGCTTTCACTTATCTAGGCAGCATAGTTTCAACTACAGGAGGCACAAACGAGGAAGTCAGAGCCAGCCAGCATTGGAAAGGCAGAAAGATAGGCGTTCATTAACCTGAAACCAGTGTGAAGATCTTCTGCACTCCACTCAGTGTAAAGCGTGAAACATATCTGGATTTTCAACACTGATTCAGTGAAGTCAATCAGTGCTTCTGTAGGCTTCAGAGACTTGTCGCGTTACGAAAAGCATTTCCAACAACTACAGGTATTCACCAACAACTGCCACTTACGCTGGCTCGATACTGACACTAAAGATCAGATGGCCAGAATAATAAGAATGAGGAACAAGGAACTCTGGCTGGCTGGCTGGCTGGTAACGAACCAACCAACCAACAACCTATCGCTCCACAAATATGCAGTGGAAGGAAGTGGAGATGGATTAAACATACACTGAGTAGACCGACTGGGGACAACACGCACCAGGCCAGTCCCTCGAGTGCAACCCAGATGAGTAGCGACGAGTTGTGCGTCCTAGCTGAGTGTGACATGGAGGAGATTGTGTGAGGAGGAAATGAGAGCTTGTGAGCTGTCTTGGAGCTAGGTTCACAAGATTGCAGAGAACAGAGTGGAAAGGAGAGATGCTACTGAAGCTCTATGTCCCATTAGCAACTCAAAAGACAAATGAATATATAATAATGAGTGTTTCTTGAAATAAATTCATGTAGTATGTTGAAATATAAAAACCATTCTGACAATTTTCATGAATAAAAATTTATATATATGTGAAACAAGCAACAAAATACAAATCGTTAATTCAACAGATCATTGAAGTTCAATGTTGAAGGGATACTTCTAGAATATACGCATATTTCATATTTGATACTTGACTATTTTCCCATTTCTGGAAGGTTTCATTTTATCTTCTTAGATCGTGGACGATTTGATGCTGTTAATAGAAAATTAATAAAAGTATAAAGTTGATAAAGAAGCTTTAAGGATAATCATTGAATTTCATGAAGAATCAGTTTTCGTGATAGGACTAATAGACTTAATCATTCACTGTCTAGAAGAAATACAGTAGAAGTTTAAGAATTCTAGTGATTCTTTCCTTTTCAACTGTTCTATAAATATAATTTTGATGATTTCAAGAAGTCACAATCTCATAACTGTTTTATAACTCCTGAAGTTGTTTAACACAAAAAATCATCGTTGGATAACTACTTGAGAGACTATCACTTATTTCTAGAAGTTTATATTAATCTTAACGAACACAAATAAAAGCAAGTAAAATTCTTCTATAGAGGAGAATATTTGTAGCTGAAAAGACTGATTTTACTGTTGTGGTGTTCCCTGAGCTCGATGATGATGCAATTGTACGGGTTTCTTTATCATTTAAGATAATACCATCAGTTGGGAAAACTCAAGAAGGAAGTTAATCGTGAAAAACTCTTTACAAATAATTTTATATCTTATCCTAATAATCTTGCATATAATAATAATGGGTTGTTTCGCCTATTGAACTGTTATTGTTCATAAACTTATTTCAATCGCCTGTTTCACTGATTCAAGTTTAAACTAAGTCAATCCATATATATATATATATATATATATATATATATATATATATATATATATATATACTGATCGCTGATTAGCATGACTGCCAAGTTTTTAAAGATTTCCTGGCATTACTTGTAGTAATTACTCTGTCCTAGATTTTTAAATTTTTCCAATTAAATTCATCTCTGATATTGTCTGCATACATTGATATAAGTGAAAATATTTCATACCTCTTAATTTCCGGGGTAGTGTTCATGAAGATAGACACGAAGAAGGCTTGATATCAGATTTACAATTTGAAATGGTGGACAACATTTGCAGCTAAGGTGGATGATCTTGGTTGTATTATTTTCACCGAAGTGGGTTGTTTAATCGTGAAGCTTTCATTCTCTTCCTAGACGACAACATCAGCACTAACTTCAGCATGAAGTGAGTAAGCTGTCAATAACTCTCCATGAGTGAATGATTCACTAGCTTGCCTTGACCAACTGGTCTCTCATTGGTTGCTTCCTTTCATTGTTGTGTCATTGACTGACTGCATAGATTTCACCGTTGCCCCCCCCCCCACTACTTACTTCACCTCTGACCTTCTTGTCACTTATCATTCTTCCCATCGGTTGATAGACTGGATCTATGTCTATACATCTCTCCATTGATTGCTCATTGACTGACTCATCTGAATCCTAAGCTTCTAGCAATTCTCTGATTTTCTTTCAGTTTCCTCTGTCCAACATTTCCACATTGTCGAAATTCAATTCATGTCCATTGTGGTTATCCATGTGGATTGAAATGAGTGGTGAAATGTCGTGTGTCGAATAGCCAGCCGATTGGTGTTCATGTAGACGAAGGTGAGGGGAGGGTGACCACTTTGTCCAGTGTAGTGCTGACTTCAGTTATTGTAGTTGATTTTGTCAATGATGTTCGGTTTGTCTTCATCGGTTGTTGCATCCTTTGGTTTTGCACAATGGTGTTTGTAGGGAATTTGTTGATTGATGAGACATTCCGATTCCACGAAGTGGTCTGAGTAATCTTGTTGTGATTTCTGATATATTCTTTATGTGTATGGTAGGATGGTGGGTTTATTGATATTTGTGGATGACTTTGTAGTTGATGTTGAATGGGATAGGGATCTTGTGATGAAGTTTTGTGGGTAGCTGTTCTTCTTAAGGATGGATATCAAGTACTTTTCTTCGTTTCTGTGTGAAGTTGTTGTACTGCAATGTGTTCTCGCTCTTTTGAATAGAGTCTGTATGCAACTAATTTTGTGCATTGTTGGGTTAACGCAACAATTGCAATAATTATTACTACTGTAGTTGAGGTTACAACCAGTGTGTATTGGCTTCCTATACACTTGTGTTTCTAGTTTTCCGACTCCTTCTCCATTGTGATTTGATATCACTGAAAACATTGTTGATAAAACTGTAAGCGTTCTACATATAATCTTTTTTTAATGATGACAAAAGTATTGTCAACATAGTCAATCCAAATTTTTTGTTTAATCACAAGTAAAATGATGGCTCCCGGTCTTTGCATCACTGTTTCTGCAATCACTTCGAGTATCGGTCACCCCATTAGAGTTCGTTTCATCTGTTATATATATATATCTTTCGATTAAATTGGAAGTATGTTGTCAGATAAACATCTTTATTTTCCTTTGCCATTATGTTTTTCAGCCTAAATTACATGAGTGAAGGATTATTTAGGGTTGTAGGTAAAAGCGATTCCTAAATGCTTAATTAATTTAATAGCGACCTCTGAGAAATTCTTCATGTGTTGTTAGGCAATACATGTATTAGTTTACAGAGATGACTTTTTAGTTGATGGTAAATTCGACCAACATGTTTTTATGAAATTGTATATGTGGTTTTCCTTCCGAAACACAGTCACCTAAAACTCTTTCCTTTCACTACAAACTTGATGTACTATAGTGCGTCTTCGCTGTCTTTAAAAATGTCTAAACACGACTGATTTAGTTTACTTTTTGATTGTTGCTAGTGTAGTTGAGGATTTGATTAGTATGAGTTAGTTTCCCACATACATAAGTAAGTTCCCAGTTATCCAAAAATTGGTCCTGAAGGATGAAAAATTTGAAAACGAGGGTTTTTATCTGTCTTCTCACCAGTCTGGGAAAACCCTGGGTGATTGAAATGAAATAAAAATCTAGTCAGTAGTTGGACCTCGTAGGCAGGAAACACAATGGTTCGAATCCAACCTCGGTCCAAATCTTCATTTCATCTTCAATCATCAGCTTAGAAAACACAAGACTATCAGAATTATTTCGTGTATGAATTTAAACAGATTAATAATATGTGTTCACTACTCAACTTCATGAATATATTTACTCATGGGTACTAAAGAAGGTCAAATTTAACCAATCGATCTGGAAAAGAATGAATGTTTATACCAGTCATGGAATGATAGATTTGTTAAACTAACCATACTAGCGGTTTCTTAAGATATAAAGTTGTATCACACTTGGAACAGTTGTACAAGTTCAATTCTTTCGACTTACCGTTTGATGATTTTCTCTATGATAACATTGAATTTTCCACATCCAAACAGAGCATTTACTTGAGATCACAATCCTATCAAAATGACCCTTTCAAATTATACATTTGTGCAGTCTTTATTCAAATGCAGAACACATTTAACTAACTTGTATACTACACAGTTGTAAACAAAGAACTAAATAGTGTCCATTAGGTATTTCACAGACATGTTTGTAAACATTTCCATCTTCTCATTTTACACGGATTAAACGGATTGATCACTCCATAAAAAATTCCTTAGTTAACTAAGATTAAATGGATGATATAGTTTTATTCGGTGAAAATACTGACACCATTTAGTCTGCTGTATACATTTATTGACAACGTGAGAGTGCTTGCGTTACATTTCTAACCCCTGTCCAAGTATATATATTATTGCTACGAAGGTAGTCTTCAGAGGTACCTATTCTTAAAATAAAGAATTAAGTGTTTGATTATTTCGATGTTTACTTTTACTTGTTAATTCCAATTAGCTGTCATGAGTTGGTAGCTGATGAGGATTTTGATCAGTTTTATTGTTACCAACTTATGGTATCTATGGAATATCTAAATGTCGATCAAGAATTGATTCTATTACTCAGTTATTCACTTTGCCGTACTTTGTTGCTATGAAATAAGATTATTATAGATAAAGGAGATGAGAAGACTTCATATATATATATATATATATATATATATATATATATATATATATATATATATATATATATATAACACCATCGTTTAATGAAACCATCGCATGAAGAACGTCCAGATTATACATAGAGTCAAAGGCCAACAAGTGAGTCAATTGATAAACTTGAAAGCCTCGATCGTTTGGTTGAATAAGTGATGTAATAACCAGATACAGTCTACCTCAACGCAGTATTAGTTGAAGTAAGATTATGCTTGACTAAAAGTAGAGATGACCTAATAAAGCACCAATTCATAAAGTATTTGATGATTGATCTAAGCTACGTATATAAATGTCACGTTCCAGCTTATACTCTGGAAGATGACCAAAATGGCTGATTGAAGATTCTAAGTGAGATCTAGAAAGAGAGATAAACCAATGTAGGATGTGGCACAGAAGTGTATCACATCAGAATGTAAAAGTGTATGAGATAAGTCAGTATAAATAAATGAAGGTTAATTAAAATGTGATCAATTTTTACTAATATCACTAAGAGTCTCTGTAACACTTATTCTATGCCATTCATTTTATTATGCATAGATAACTCATATTTCTTTGCCTTAATTTGGTTGCGGTTAGCAAAGGAATCCAGGATGTACATTTCGTCCTATTTAGGACTCGTTACCTGGATGTACCTGTGCTCAGTGTGGAGTGATGTGGTTCCCACTGAGACTCGAACCTTGTACCCATCGCTTCAAATGCCAAAGCGTTATCTACTAAGCCACAGAAGCGCGATAGCCACTAACGGGTATTAGTAATAATTAACTATTTATTGATATGCTCCTATGCGGATATCTCGGTATTGTTTGAATATTTATTCGCATAATTGACTTGGTTGTGGCTAGCAGAAGAATCCAGGACGCATGTTTCGGCCTATTTGAAACTCACCAGCCGGATTTGCCTGCATCCGAGTGAGTGGTTAGCCACAACCAAGTAAATTACCGTAATAAGTATTCAGTCCATTTCAAGGTATTCGCATAGGAGCCAATATGGTCAACAGAGGTCGAACAATTCGATCCAGTATAACAACGGAGAATTACACATATATCAACAAATAGTTTCCTTGCTTTCGTCTGATTGGCTGTTTGTTGTCTAGATATTTGTGGTTATCTGATTGGTTGACTTAATAAATTTACTGGTAGCCATATTGAAATTGTTTTTTTG